TTATTATTATTATTATTATTATTATTATTATACATACATTTTTTCCTAAGTTTTCAAAGAGGAAATGGATAGCTTCGCGTCAAAACCTTGCCGCATGAAAGTCTCAATAACCGCAACTGTACCATTTGAATAATTTTCTAGCATACAGAGTGAAAGAAAGAGGACAAATGCACATTAGGCACCTAAGGGAACTGGCAACCACGATCCATCGTTTGGACCACGAGGATCGTGACATGATGAAGTACTTGAGCAATGAGATCAAATATCTCTGTGGATCCGTTTTCCGAGACTGTTGCATTGAGATAGGAACTTCTAAGGGAGATCTGGAGTTTGCAACTTCAATGGAAAACCACTACGATATCGTTGTTACCCACAGCAAAATTTCCCAAGAGGTTTCCGGCAATATCACGAGAAAATTCGCTTTTCTTCTGTAGAATCCATAACAGACAATTTCCTCTCTATTGTCCCACATCTTATTCAACCCATCAAAGAGATCTTCAAAGATGAGAGTGTACCGCAGGTTCGGAATGGAATGAGAGGAGTTACTGAGGAGATAGTTCTCACAAAAAAAGTTCAGAAATTCAAGATGCTGTAGAAAAGAACAACTTATTCAGGCTTTTCACAGCAGTAAGCAACATTCTTGAATGTTTTTGCCACAACAATAATGTTGGCCAGTATTAAATTGCAGATGACGAGATACGCGAATGGGGTAGCTCTGTCATGATTATCCGAATGTCGATAGTTTTGGGTAAGTACTTTAAAACGGCCGGATCTGATGCGCTGAGGTTGCATGAAAGATTACGCATCATTTCGAACCACTTGAAAGACATCATGTCAGATCGAACGGCCTTTGAAGGAACATTCTTCAGTGATTTCTACAACGTTACATTGAGCCTAGTAGCGTTTGCCAAATTTGATCCGTCACGATTCTTGAGATTTGAACTGAAGGACTGTAGCAGCTCAGCAGATACTGGAGGCAACGACGTGTTGAGGTACGATAAGTCAAAAGAAATCTTTTCGCAGGTTTTATGGATCAGCAAAGAGTCCGAGGAAGAATTACAACTGGAAGCAATTGCATATGTTCACATTGGTGGAAAGCTTCGCCGAACAGGAGCATTTGAATCAGAGATCACACTACCAGTCCCCACCGGCGAAGTCAACGAAAGACTTCCAAAGGCCTCTTTGCCCGTTGTTGTCAAAAGAAAGTATGGCTTTGGTGGAAGCATTCGTGTGACTCTTTATGCAACGCAGAAGGAAAATGTCCGCAAGGTCTAAGAGTATCTAAAGCAGGAATTGGGCGAAGAGGTGGTTGACCTAAGAAAAGAGAAGATTACATCAAGCCATCTTAAATTACGCAGCTCTGCAAAAGCAGGTACTGTTTTCAAACTGCGTTTGATCCACTATTGGGGATCAGAAACGATTGGTCTTGACAGCCGTGACTTCATAGCCCTTGCCGACTCGAGTGCAGGAGGCGCCAGTATGCCTCATGTAGGAACAGCAGGTTAGAAAATATTCCTTTGCTGACCAGTGGTAGTTTGCATGGCTAAAGAGGTGTGAGGGTCCGTATCTTCTACAACCGAGTTACAGCTTTGTCGATATATTATATGAAGCTGACTAAACTACAGTGACAGTTGTAAAAGACTTATTAAATAGCTATGGAGTAAGTAGAAGTTATAGCTGCAGCGATAAAAAAGGAAAAAAAGCCAAGTCACTAAATACCCCTGCTGCAATACCCCTCATTACTGTCAATCTTTCAGCTGAGGCCCATCAACTGTTGGCTCCACCTACACCAAGCGACTTACGGGCTGGCAGTTCTGACGTGAGTAGCTTTATCATGGATCCATCACATGCAGAGATGGTACAAAGACATCTAAACGAGCAGCGAGGAAAAATTGGTGAGAAATCTCAGTATTCATATTGAATTTTCAAAGGAAATTATTCAGACATTAACCTAAAGATGAATCAGAAGAAAGCCCTTGGCAATATTCGTTAACCATGCT